GTCCCAGCTACTTGGGAGGCGGAGGCAAGAGACTCGCTTGAGCCCAGGAGTTGGAGGTTGCTGTGAGCTGTAATTCCACGGCACTCTACCCAGGGGGATAGCTTGAGGCTCTATCTCAAAAAAAAAAAAAAAAGTTATGTATAGATGCTCCTTGACTTACAATAGGAGTATATCCCGCTAAGCTCAGCATAAATGGAAAATATCATAAATCTGGCTTGGTGCCTATAGCTTAGCATCTAGGGCGCCAGCCACATACACTGGAGCTGGCAGGTTTGAATCCAGCCCGGGTCCACCAAACAACAATGACAAGTACAAAAATAGCCAGGCGTTGTGACGGGTGCCTGTAGTCCCAGCTACTTGGGAGGTTCAGGCAAGAGAATCACTTAAGCCCAAGAGTTGGAGTTTGCAGCTCGGCGCCTGTGGCTCAAGCGGCTAGGACGCCAGCCACATACACCTAGGGTGGCGGGTTCGAATCCCCAGCCTGGGCCTGCCAAACAACAATGATGGCTGCAACCAAAAAATTGCCGGGCGTTGTGGCGGGCGCCTGTAGTCCCAGCTACTTGGGAGACTGAGGCAGGAGACTCGCTTGAGCCCCCAAGGAGTTGGAGGTTGCTGTGAGCTGTGATTCCATGGCACTCTACCCAGGGGGCGATAGCTTGAGGCTCTGTCTAAAAAAAAAAAAGAGTTGGAGTTTGCTATGAGCTGTGACACCATGGCACTCTACCCAGAGCAACAGCTTGAGACTCTTGTCTCAAAAAAAAAAAAAGAAAGAAAGAAAATATCATAAATTGGCTTGGCGCCTATAGCGCAGTAGTCATGGCACCAGCCACGTACACCAAGGGCTAGCAGGTTTGAACCCAGCCCTGGCCAGCCAAACAACAACGGCAACTGCAACAAAAAAGTGGTCGGGCATTGTGGCAGGCACCTGTGGTCCCAGCTGTTTGGGAGGCTGAGGCAAGAGAATTACTTGAGCCCAAGAGTTTGAGGTTGCTGTGAGCTGGTATGTGAGTGGAAGATGGATAAGGATAAACAGCACTCTACCAAGGGCAACATAGGGAGACTCTTGTCTCAAAAAAAAAAAAAGAAAGGAAATATAATTCAAAATTGCATTTAGGCCGGACACAGTGGCTCATGCCTGTAATTCTAGCACTCTGGGAGACTGTTAACAGTGGATTGTCTGAGCTCACAGGTTCAAAACCAGCCAGAGCAAAAGCAGGACCCCGTCTCTAAAATGGCACTCTACCTAGGGTGACAAAGTGAAACTCCATCTCAAAAAAAAAAAAAAAAAAGGCATTTAATACACCTAACCTACTACATCAGCATACGTTAGCCTAGTCTACCTTAAACATGCTTAGAACACTACATTAGCCTGAAATTAGGCTAAATCATCTTAACAAAAAGCCTATTTTATAAGAAAGTGTTGAATTATCTTGTAATTTATTGAATGTACTGAAAGTGAAAAACAATGGTCGTATGGGTGCTTGAAGTACAGTTTCTACTGGATATGTATCACTTTTGTGGCATTATAAAGTCAAAAATATCGTAAGTCAAAATTTATGACATAGGGACCATCCATCTATATGTTTTGTTTATGTTTCTGATTAGTTAACATTCATTTTAAAAAAAAATCAAATATACTAGGCCAGGCGCAGTAGCCCACCCCTGTAATCCCAGCACTCTGGGAAGCCAAGATGGGTAGATTACCTGAGCTCACAGGTTCAAACCAGACTGAGCGAGACTCATCTTTAAAAATAGCCAGGCGCTGTGGTGGGCACCTATAGTCCCAGCTACTTGGGAGGCTGAGGCAAGAGAATCTCTTGAGCCCAAGAGTTTGAGGTTGCTGTGAGCTGTGATGCTACAGCACTCTACTAAGGGCAACATAGTGAAACTCTATCTCAAAAAAAATAAAGTCTACACATCCCAGCTATTAATGTGTCTATTATTTATTAATGTACCTGTTATGCACACGGCACTGTACTGTGTCCTGTGGAGACTAAAAAGAAGTGTAATACGTGGTATCTGCTCTGGAGGATCTTATTATTCCAAAAAGTAAGACATCCATATTCAAAATTAAATTATCATACATAAGAGAAATATTTTAAGGCAGTGTCCAATTAAATGCCAAATCAGGAGCCAAGGCATAATCTTAAAGTAGACAGTATCACTGTTGACTAATCTTGATCTGAGCCTTGGTATGTGAGTGGAAGTTGGATAAGGATAAACAGAAAGGGAAGAAAGAATGTATCAGTCAAAGAAAATATTATAGGGCAGAGCCTGTGGCTCAGTGAGCAGGACACTGGCCCCAGATACCGAGGGTGGCGGGTTTGAACCCAGCCCTGGCCAAACTGCAACAAAAAAATATCCAGGCATTGTGGAGGGCTACTCCGGCCCAAGTAGCCAGACTACTCTGGAGGCTGAGGCAAGAGAATCGCCTAAGCCCAAGAGCTAGAGGTTGCTGTGAGCTATGACACCATGGCACTCTACCAAGGGCAACAAAATGAGACTTTTGTCTCTAAAAAAGAAAAAAAAGGAAAATATTATGCTTATTTAGCTATGCAAGGAGAAAATTAGCATGATGGGTTTAGAGTATGAATGGTCCATCTGGTTGTTTTAGAAAACCTTCAGTAGATAAGGTTAAAAAAAATAGGTTCCTAGTTTAAAATGGTGATTTTTATGCCCGTGTTACATTCTGATTATTCCTAAAAGAGAATAGGTGCAAAGCCTTACTGCACTGTCAGAAATTCTTTATAATCTTAATGTGTAATGTAACCTACTCCTTGATTAGAGTCCCTTACTCTTTGGCTAACGTTTAAACCTTTACCTATAATTAAGTGCAGAGTGAATTTAAGAACATGATACAAGTTGAGTGTCTCTTATGTAGAATTCTTGGAACATGAAGTGTTTCCAATTTCAGATTTTTTTTAGAGTTTGGAATATTTGCATTACACTTATGAGTTGAACATCGCTAATCCCAATTCCAAAATCCAAAATGGTCTAGTGAACCTTTCCCTTGAACATCACAGCAATTCAAACATTTTGGATTCTGGATTTGAAAATTTCAGATTTGGGGGTTGGGGATAAACTATAAATGTGTACTTCTAACTTTAATGTTTATGTTTCTTTATGTGAATAAGATAGAAAATAATTTTAATTTTACTATTCATATTTCTTACTAGGTCCTAAAAATGTTTTATAATATTTTAAATCCAAGTTTATGCCATTATTATCCTTTCTTTTTCTGGCAGTCTCCACATGAACAAGAGAATCAGAATTCAAATTCTTTTTTTTTTTTGGAGACAGAGTCTCACTTTGTTGCCCTCGGTAGAGTGCAGTGGCGTCACAGCTCACAGCAACCTCAAATTCTTGGGTTTAAGAGATTCTCTTGGCTCAGCCTCCCAAGTAGCTGGGTGTGCCCACCACAAAGCCCTGCTATTTTTTTGTTGTTGTTGTCGTTGTTTAGCTGACCCTGGGCTGGGTTCGAACCTGCCAGCCTTGGTGTATGTGGCCAATCCACACTGTGCTATGGGCACTCAGCCAGAATTCAAACTCATTTATAGTTGAAACAATGTATCTGATTGGCCCATTAAACCAAGTGGAATGCAAAAAAGAAATCATGGAAAGTTGATATAATAAACATACCACATTTTGAAATAAGGTTAAGTATTACTGGTAGGGAGACATTTTTAGTGATTGACCCTTTTAAACTGTTTCTCCACAGTTCCAGGACCATCTGCAGCCCTCACGACAATGCAGCTTTTCTCCAAGCAAAACCCTTCAAGACAAGAGGTTACCAAACTCCAGCAGCAGGTTAAAACAAATGGTGCTGGCGTGACTGTTCTCAGGCGTGAAATTTCTGAGCTTCGCACCAAAGTGCAAGAACAGCAGAAACAGCTTCAAGACCAAGATCAGAAACTGCTAGAGCAGACACAGATCATAGGGGAACAGAATGCACGGTTGGCAGAGCTGGAGCGCAAACTGCGAGAAGTAATGGAAAGTGCAGTGGGAAACTCCTCAGGGTCTGGGCAGAGCGAGGAGTCTCCTCGGAAACGAAAAAAGGCCACAGAAGCCATAGACTCTCTTAGGAAATCTAAACGTCTTCGGAATAGGAAGTAAATTGGAAAGTGTTTCTAGCTCCAGAGGCAGACATGGCTTAGTAGCTTAAGCAGTTATGCATATCAGGATACCGTGAGCAGCATGGTGTCCCCTTGGCTTCTAGGCTTTCAGATCACAACTTGAACTCTTATTGTTGGGACATTTCCTTTCCTGCTTCTTCTGGTTGAACTAATGCACAGAGTCTTTTTACTTTGCAATAGATTTGTACTAACCAGACCTGTTCTATCATGTTTTGAGGAGTTAACTTTTTTCTGTGCAGATAATGTTTAAAGTAAGTTAATTTGTTTCTGCATATATGCACATTACATAAAGATCTTAAACCCAGTCTTGATAGACTAGAAGTTACGTTTCATATAGAAAATGTCCTGTTCACTTGAAAGAAAAGACTTACTTTTTAAAATGGACACTATCTTGTTTTTTTGTTTTTTTGTTTTTAAGTTGTCTTTTGTTATAAGTGACCTTTGTCTGGAATGTCTGAAAAGTAGTTAATGCTTTTTGGTATTGAAGTAATGGGTAACTAAAACGGACTTCCATAGTATTGACTGTAGAAGAAGCCTCTACAGTATTGACTATATATTTTTATAAACTACTGGCAAGGGACTTACCCAGTTGTTAGATACATGTTTTCAATTCTCTTTTGGGGCCATGTCCTACATTTGCATGGATGGATGCATGTGTTGCCTAGTCAACTCACTTAAAAGCTCTTGCACTGGGATTGATCTTGAACCTCTACACTTCACTTTTTAGAGCAGTGTCTTAGTTTATTTAAGCGCTTAATATCTTCCACCACAACAGCTTGCCTCTAGAGGAAGAATTGTTAGTCTGTTTGTCCTCCAGTTTTATAGGAAGAAGAAACTCTTGAAGCCCATTGCTTTATTTATTCTCTGTAGAGTTCAGGTACACTGGCTAAGACAGAACCCCAAATTCCAAGGCTCTTTCAATATTGAACCTCCGTGAGTAGGGGACCCAACTTCCAGGATGTAGTTTTGCCATTGATTCAGGAAAAGTTCCTTGAAGAAAATTGGAGCATGAGAAAGCATTCTGATTATTTCTTTTCTGGGGGATGACCTGCGGAAAGCTTTTTAATATTAATTTCAAGCTTTCCTTATCCTACAACTTTAAATGAAAGCTTTAATTTCATTTGCACTCCTGTTTTGAGCTTGTAACTGGAAAAGCATGTCTTGCACTGTTCAGCCTTCTGAGTGGTCACTTTAACAACCTTCAAATTGTGTTCAGTGGTTATTTCCCCCAGTTACATATTTTTTGAGACATTGAACTATCACTGTCCTAGTTTTATTTTAATGTACTGAATTATGTAGTTATGTGTTACGTTCTTTTAAACAACTGTTGCCTTGGGCTTCAGTTATTTAAAGTAACTAGGTATAATATAGAAAATTATCCCTTTCCAGGTGGGAGTTTGACACCTGTATAAAACCTAAGGTTTGGTAAGTACCTTAGTTGAATAAAAGCACAAGGTTATCCCTTTTTTTATCCGTCCAACATGATATGGTTATGCATCCTCTAGATTAAGCTCACCAATTGAAACTTTTTTCTATCCATTTTTAATATTGTCCTTAAATAATATTGTCCTTAGATTTTGATCAATTCTATGTCTAACTTTGAAATACCATTTACAATGTAGTATGTTTTCAATGAGAAACCATAAAGTAACATCCAAGTGTTTCATGGTTTGTTGGGAAGTAATTTTAAAATAAAACAATTTCCAAAAAAACATTTGTCAGCCAAGGTCATCCATAAAAGTACCTGTCTGGAACTCATTTTCTTAGCAGTTCTGATTTTTTAATCATAGGATTTAGCCATATTATAACTTAGGAGGCCCACTGGAATACCTATGGCTTTTAATAGTCTGCTTTTCTGTTAATAGGAAGACTTTTTTTTGTTTTTAAATCAATGTATATGTTTACAGGTTTACAAACTATAATCCTTATACAACAAAGGGATATTGTTAATGAATTATTAAGCATCCTGAAGTTTTTTTAAACTACATCTAGATAGCCTAAATGTATGCATAGTCTTCCACTGGTTAACACAAGTATATGGCTTTCATAAATAAGCAGTCACATTATTGACAGGTAGATACTCTGTTCCATAATCTAAACTTTTACAACTTGTAATCACCTGTCCATAAGGCTAGTAAGTTGCATTTGTAAATGCATGAATGTTCCATACAGTAGAAAAATAAAGCACTACAGTTCAGTCCTTCAAATCTTAACTCTTACTTAGACTAACTAAACATGTTAGGATATTGCCTTCACCGTTTATTGGGACAGTTATTGGATAGCTGTTCTGCTTGTTGATGGATAGCATAATGGTATTTAAGGCTCAATAAATCACAAATTATTTCGATCAGTTATAACCGATATATATAATTTACAGGAAAACTATAAATTAACCTCCTGAGAGCCACCCTGCCCTGCTTTTTATGTTACTTAAATGCTGTGTTAATACTGTGTTGTCCTAATGCAACATTTCTTAAAGTATTCCCATTGTCTTCCTTGGCTGTTTTTCAGAGGAGACATCTCTATTTAATGGGTCATTCCCATGCATAAATTTATTATGGTACAACACTAAACACGGATGAAAATGTGAAAGGCGCGTGTAGGAAATGAAGAGCGCTGTCCTCCCACTTAGCCCCCGGCGGATCCTCTGCTGATCCTTTAGTGGAATTGGCCTACTCAGTCATCACATGTTCTGAGGTTATAGAACCTGTCGTTTTTCAAACTCCTCTTTTGATGTACAGAGCCTGGAAATAATGGGGCAAACACAAATGTATTCAGACTAATTATACTGTTTCAAAAGACTATTGGGGTGTCATCAGGTCTAAAGCCACTGGTTTGGGAAGTAGCTTTTTTTGTAAAACATGTTTTTTGAAGTACTGAACTTTACAGGGGTTTGCCTTAATCTCTATTGAGTAGTTTCAAGTTGTATGCGCTATTATTCTATGTGTTAAAATGTTAAAATATTCTATGTAGCCCCAAAGGTGGGTAAAACAGAGTATAAGTAATGCCTAAATAAATAAGCTAAAAGGTGTCACTACAGCTGGATTTTTGAGAGAAAACGGACATATAAAAATAGGCTATGTGTAATAAAAATAATGGCACCTTAAGATTGCACTATTTTATGCATTATTTTATATGCCATTCCATAGCCTGCACTTTAATCTCCAAAGAATGATGTGTGATGTCCCAGTTGTTCCTTGTTATTAATAAACTTTTTTCCTAAGACAGGGCACTTAATTCTATTTTACTAAACTGAATTAGTTTCTTGGAGGTGAATTCCTTTTTTGAGTTCTCTATTTCCTTAGCCATAATATTTTCGAGGATCTGGGAACTCCCTATCTTATCTATTTCCAACAGTATATGATTTTAATTTAATATAAATCTCATACTTGGTGATTCACACATTCTTTTATGTTGCTCTAGCAGTGAGTACCCATTTGTTACACTTACCTAACCCTCTAAAAGTAAAGCTGTGAGTAAGATTTGAAGTCAGGAATAAAAGAGCATTCTGAAAGAAAATGTCCTGTATGTTACAGTCTCTTGGAAATGACTGATTCTCACAAGAAATGCAATCTGACATGCTCTCCACTTTTTTGACTTGAAATCTATCTGAATCGCTTTAATATGCAAAAGGTTAAGTTAAAACTATTTTAAACTCCTAGCTTACCATATGAGGTGAGTTATTTTCAAAAGTACTAAATCTGTAAAATGTGACTAGCAATTAATTGCTGCCTACCATGGGTTTAGTTTTAATAACAATACTGTTATATTGACAAGAAATATGGCAGGTTTAAGTAATGTCCTTTTTGCAGATGCCTAAGGATCTTGATTAAATTTCTGAAGTTCAAAAAGTAAACCCAAATTATTCTATTGTATCTTAAAAGAACCATGAAATTTAGAACCATATTGGTAAATCTATTAAGTCCATTGCCAAAGTTTACTGGTCCATATTCAAAGCAATACCAAAAGGCTAGAAGTGTTTAAAATTCCTTTATGTGGTACCATGTCTGTAAATTACCTATGCTTATGAGCAACAATAAATTATTAGTTTACCTTCTGGAATTTTAATTGTTATAACCTAATCAATCATTGGAAAGTGAAAATCACCTCCCGGTCACACAACAGGGTACATAAATAAATGTGTTATTACCAGTGCTACTCGTTTTCATTGTATTTCATGCACAAAATGTAGAACTCTGTTGCTAACGTGTATTAGCGACTATCTTCTGGAGCACTGTGCTGGGTGTTTTACACATCTTACTGTAGTCCTCACAGCCACCTTTATAAAGCAAAATTACTCCACTTAGAGGAAGTCGAACTCAGACTGAGTAACCTGTCCACAGTGACTTAAGTGGGATTTGACTTAAACTTCCTTGCTTCTAAGCTTATGAACTTTCTGCTATACTATATTCTAAAAAACCTGGTACAATGAGACCGATCCTAACTCATGAAACCCAAGATCAAGAAAAAGCTGAGTTTAGAGAAAACAACTTTTATTTTGGCAGTGGATTAACCCTAGGTGTGCAGGTAGATAACACATTTGTAAGGCTTCTAAACCCTTAAATAGGAAGCAACCCTAGCAGCAGATGTGGTCTGAGGCTACTAACTCAGGGCTAAAGTCACCTTACTATAAAATATGTGTTGCTGGTCAGTACAAAAGTGGTGACCACTAATTCTTTTGCTCTGCCAGGGAAGAATACTGGTTCTCTTTAAAATTTCTTCTGGCTCCAAAAGTAAATACTCAGAGTTAATCAAATAAAATCATAACAAATCAGGCCAGGTGCGATGGTTCATACCTTTAATCCCAGGACTCTGGGAGCCAGGCAGATGGATTGCTTGAGTTTACAAGTTTAAGACCAACCTGGGCGGCGCCTGTGGCTCAAAGGCGTAGGGTGCTGGCCCCATATGCTGGAGGTGGGGAGTTCAAACCCAGCCCCGGCCAAAAACTGCAAAAAAAAAAAAAAAAAAGTTTAAGACCAACCTGAGCAAGAGTGAGACTGGCTCAAAAATAAAGGGGGGGGGG